AGGTGGGTCAAAAATGTAAAGGTAAAAAATGGGAGTGACTTCAGCAAGGTGGTGGGGTAGGAGGTTCCAGCTCTCAAGCCACCAATAGAGGAGATGACCTTTATGGGAACCCGGGAATCCAGCTCACAGGTTCCAGTCCCTGGATGGAGCAAAAAATCGAAGAGTAGATGCCTTGAAGAGAAGACAGTTTCACTCTACNTCCAGCTCACAGGTTCCAGTCCCTCGATGAAGCAAAAAATCAGAGAGTAGTTGCCTTGAAGAGGAGAAGACAGTTTCACTTTATTGCATCACCTCTTCCCCAAGGCAGCACAGCTCAGCGCCAGGAGAGACTTCCTCAAGCTTGCAAACATTCCCACAAGGAAACGTGAGAGTGAGTGAGCACCCAACTGCCCCAGCTTTGAGGGGTGCTGCCCAGGAAGCCACTTCTGTCTCACCACCCCCAGAACTGAGGGAGTGTGCGTGACTGAAATTGGCCTGGGACACTGGCACACAGACCTCACCAGCTGGGCACAGAGTTTTCCTGGAGCACTGCTGTCACAGTCCTTAGACTTCTCTGAGTCAGTTGTTTCCCTGAGAAAGGGCTCCTCCTTTCCACTCCTTCTTGCTCTACAAGAGGGCTGCCCCCACTCACAGAACCTTCAAGCAGTACGCGCGAGAGAGAGAGAGAGAGAGAGAGAGAGTGCTACCCCACTGGACACACATCCAGCTCTCCCTTGCAGCTGGCCTCCATTCCCAGCAACTTTAACGACATATTTTTAAAAGACAGTGTCCATAGTTTGGTCAAAAGGCTATTTTATGTTGGTACCACAAAAAGGATTTTTAAATGAAAATTGGAGGTATGGATTTGAATGGCATGTCTCAGGAATATTTAGTTCTGGTGTTTTCTTTCCCATGAAGGAGCCACTGCTTCTTGGTGGAGAAGAAAAGCAGTTAGAATATAGTTCTGGTGTTTTCTTTCCCACAAAGGAGCCACTGCTTCTTGGTAGAGTTTCTCCATCTTCAGCACCTGGGCCATCAGTTCCCACAGAATCCTCCCTAGAGTTAGGAAGCCTAGTGACAGGTGGCATTGCAGGTGGTTAACGCTGCTGATCAGAACTGGCCTGCTCTGCAAGGGGCTTACAAGGAGGTTCAGAACAGCCCACCAAGTGGTCCCCTTCCCTGCTGCTGTGTCAGTTCAGTTGAGCAACAAGCCTTTTGAACAAAGTCCAACTCTGTGGCAGAACCCAGTGTGTTGCACAACAAATTCAGTTTTCTGCTCCCAACCTGAAACATACAACTTCATGGGACCATTTTGTCAGGTTGGATGATGTCCAAAAATATTTCCACATGAGGGTGATGTGTCCAGAGCCTTGGTGTTAACAGACACAGACAAAAGACCACTTATCGGCCACGTAACTGAGGGTCCGGCCTCCTCTAGGTGGGGGTGTTCTCAGTGGCCACTCCTTAGGTCCAGGGGGAGGTGTTAGAGACTGTGTGACATGGGAGGGAGACCAGCAGCCTTGTCTGCAGGTGGGGGTGGGAAAGGCCACAGCTGGAGCACCTCACACTCACCAGGTCTCCCTTCAAAGTCCTGTTAGAAATCAAACTCCAGCAGACAGTGCAGGAGCAGCAGGCCTTGGGCCTAAGGACTGCTGGGTGAATGTAGCTATCCTCTGCCAGCCTCTGGCCCCTTGTCATGTACTAAGCAAGCCTCCCCTGGACTTTTATGTGCAGCCACCTCAATGAAAACACCTTTGCTGCCCCCTGCTAAACTCCAGCACCAGAGTGCAAGGGGGAGGAACTAGGTGTTAGACAGGCATGAACAGAGCAGACGATGGGCCAGGTACAGAGACTCACCAAGGCAGAAAGTCCCAGATGCTTAGCAGTGGGCAAAACAAGAACCTTGTCCCCAAGATAATCTACCCTCCCTTAGCATATGGCTGGTCATGTGGTTTAGACCCCCTGAGCATTTCCTCCGTAAAGATAACATCTAGGCCTCTGTTGTATGTCAGCTCCAGGCCTAGAAATGCAGCAAAACCAGACAAGTGGCACCTTGGCTGCCTCAGGACCAGCTGCACTGACTTATGACCCCCTGCCCTGGCACCTATCAATCAGTAGAGAACACGATCCTGAAAGAACACACCTGGAAAGTTGATTAATATTCTATTGAGAGACTTTCCTGAGAACTCCCCTAATATTTCCTCCTGCAAGAAAGAGATAAATATGCTCAAGACAAAGGGCCCAAAGTGCTCCCCTGAGCTCAGACCAGCACCATTTCCTCCCCCCTTCTTCTCTCCAAGGGGACCCCAGGAGACTTGCAACCAGGGGAGCAATAGGCAGCTGCAGCTCGCCCTGGACTTACCCTCTGAACCTGTCTCCAGGGCCCCTTCTCTCTCTGATTTCTCAGTGAGCCAAAGCAGCCCATTAGGTTCTCCTGTTGCTTCTTCTATGCTCTTCCTTGTTTCACTGTCCCAGGTATATTTTTGCTGCCATCATGGACCCAATACCCTTTGACTCAGTGCTGTGTAGCCCTTCCCTTTGGGTATCCCTATCCCCCACCCCCTTTTCCTTAAACAACTTCAATTTTTCTTTATCCACCATCTGAGATGGCTATTTAGCCTGTGCATCCACCACCAACCTTAACCTTTCACTGGGGATCCAATGAGTTTGTTTTTAAATCATCTCATTACTAAAAGGTACCCCTTTACCTACAGAACTCAAAGCATTAAGCTCCCCCGCTCCCAAATCATTTTACTTTTTTCAAAAAGAAAAAATCCAAGGCTATTCTCCCAGGGAAGCCCAGCTCAGGGTGTCCTATAATTACTGCTCCCCTCTGGGGGTACCTCAGTCCAGAGCAAAAGCAGGAGCTGGGGGTGAAGGGCCCAGCTAGGGCGCAGGAAGCCAGGCACCTGGAGGCCAAGCCTGGTTTTAGCTCCCCAGCTCTGGGCGGGATCCCTACATGCTTTCAAAGAGGCTAATGTTTAGATTCTGGCCTCCCGTGGCACAGATCACTGGGAATGCAAGGACGTTCCCCACTCACGCCTGTCCCAGGCCTAATTTCTGGCATAGTTTTCCCATGCAGGCCTCAGGCTCACCCAAGGATCCCAGGAGCCAGGAGAGTGAGCAGAGTTTCCAGAGATACCAGTTCCCCTTCTGTGCATCTGGCCTCCAGGTTCAGGTTTGCTCAACTGCCCCCATCAGCTCCAGGCCTTTGCCAGAAGCCTTTTGGCCCAACAGGCCAGTAAGCTTCCCCAGCTTTGGTAACCCCTGGGTTCTCCTGGGTAGGAACAGAGGCACCAGGCCACCTCAGTGCTGCCAACCTACCCTGCCAGGGACAAGAGAACCTCTCTGCCCCAGCAGCTCTTGGCCTAGGGTCTCCAAGGGATTCTGCTCCACAGACTGGTGCCCCACCTCACTCCAAACAATGGTGGAGCCTTTCACTAGTCTTCCCCTTCCCTCCCACCAGCTATTTTTAGATCTGTTAAGAGTAGAAAGGAGGATTGCTTCATTTAAACTTTTAGGAAATAAAGGATTCATGTAAATGGCTCCCAGACCTTGCTAAGAGGCAGCCCCTGGAGCCCAAGGAGGCTGGATATGCTCCTATACACACACACACAGTGCACCTGCCCTAAAATAACGGGACTGTCTTGGTTTCTGATCTGGCCTCAAGCTAGTCCTAGTCCTTTGAGCGAATCCCAGGCCTGGTCAGATGTCAACTACCCCACGACCACCACCACCCCTCCACCTGCTGACTTGTCCTGTGCGTCTAACTGTGAAGCCCAGGACCAAAGAACTTTCTCTCCTGACATCAGTCCCTGGGTCCTTCCCATAGCCAGCCCCTGTGCTACTGAGACTCAGATTTCTGGGGATGTTTTAAGGATCTTTCTCCCACCCCAGCCTCAATCTGCCAAGCTCTGTATCTTGGGGAACTCAAAGCAAAACCTCATGAGACACTGTGTTCGCAAAGTCTTGGAGAAAATGGAAGCCCATGCAAAGCTAGTGGGAGTAAAAAATGGTACAGCTACTGTAAAAAAGAGAATGGTAATTTCTGGAAAAATTAAAAAAAGAATTACCATATGGTCCAGCAGTTCCATTCCTGGGTATATACTCAAAAGAATAAAAAGCAGAAATTCAAATATTTGTACATAGCATCATGATTTACAATAGCTGAAAGAGAAAAGCAGGCCAAGTGTCCATCGACAAACGAATGGATAAAAATGTGGTACAAACATACAAAGGAATATTATTTACCCTTAAAAAGGAATAGAATTCTGATAATGCTACAACATGAACCTTGAAAATACGCTAAGTGAAATAAGCCAGACACAAAAGGACAAATAGAACATGCTTCCACTTGTACATCATACCTAGAATAGACAAATTCATAGAGATATTCCAAAAAATACAATAGTAGTTCCCAGGGCAGAGAGGGGAAGGGAAGGGAGAGGAGTCAGTGTTTGGTGGGTTCAGAGTTTCACGTTGGGAAGATGAAAAAGTTCTGAATGCGGGCAGTGGAGTTGATTGCACAACAATGTGACTGTACTTACAGCCCCTGAACTGGACACTTCAAAATGGAAAAAATGGCAACTTTTATGATATATATATATTTATCAGAAATTTTAATGTTAAAAAAGTTAATTAGTCTAGGGACCAGAACCAATAATTTGACATTCAATACAGCCAAGAGGTCTTGAGCGCCTACTGTGTGTCAGGCTCTGACCCAGGGCCTGAGGATACCAAGAATGGATAGGAGACTAGATCACTTAACCCTGGGAAGCTGTCACCCTCTCTTGTGCCACCTCTGCCACAGCACACACAAGATTTGTGGCACCATGGTCAGTCCCAGACACAGGAACAGGACAAAGGTGTCTGGGACTTCTCTACTACAGACAGAGGAAGCTACTCTTACCGACATGTGACGAAGCCCCCACACCCCTGCAGACAGTGGAGATCAGGGGAAAGCGAGGCACTGCAGGAAGTGTTTAGTGCCAGGATGTAGCAGCAACAAACCAGCGCTGGCTCTATTTGATCCCTGAACCCGACTCCCCAGTCACCAACCCCTCTGAGCCTTGAATCAGGTCCCTGTAAGTCCTGGGACAGTGCTGACGATAGAGATTTTCCACCAGCGTGTTGCTGCCTCTAACCACGCCCCTCCCTTCCTGGTTCATGTAGTTCCACAGATGCAGGGCATAGGAGTCATTGAAGCTTGGCTCCCTGTTCCACACTTCNGCATAGGAGTGTGAAGCTTGGCTCCCTGTTCCCCACCTCATAGTCGCGCCTCCACTCTGGATAGGGGATGGGGTAAAATCTTTGGGGGTGGAGGAAGGACAAGTTCAAACACCTGAGGTCGCTCACCTCCTGGAAGTCTTCAAGTTTGCACCACACTCTCAACAACCTTGTCATCAAACGGGACCCTGGTGCCCCAAATGTGTGAATTGTAGTGTTCAACAAAGTTTTCCATGCACTGCCATAGGAAGGAGTGGCGGGGGAGGAATCCAAACACACCGTTACTAGAATACTGCGAAGCCTGTGCAGCCAAAAAGTTCTCCTCAGGGATGGGCCTGATGGAGATGACATCGGTGTCCATGTAGACGCCCCCGTATTTCCAGATGATGGCAAGTCGGGACGCATCTGAGATGACATGGAGCCAGTTTCTCTCTGCACTGGTGTTGATCTGCAGGAGCAGGTGCAAATCAGCCTGAGCAGCGCGGGGGAGGGAGGGGAGTCACAGAAGGAGGCCTGGCCCAGGCTGCCGGGGAGGGGGCAGCAAGCCTGCTTCCCAAATACCTATTTGCCAAGGGACCAATTTTGCAAATTTACCAACATTGCCTCCTTCACCCAAGTGTTGCCTTTTAGTATAAAGGTTACACAAATCAGTATCCATGGGAAGACTTCAGGGGCTTGAAGTTTTGTTTTGTTTTTTAATGAAANACTAGAGGACTGTGGAGCCTGTGCCGCCCAAAAGTTCTCCTCAGGGATGGGCCTGATGGAGATGGCATCGGTGTCCATGTAGGCGCCCCCGTATTTCCAGGTGATGGCCAGGCGGGACGCCTCTGAGCTGACATGGAGCCAGCTTCTCTCTGCACTGGTGCTGATCTGCAGGAGCAGGTGCAAATCAGCCTGAGCAGCGCGGGGGAGGGAGGGGAGTCACAGAAGGAGGCCTGGCCCAGGCTGCCGGGGAGGGGCAGCAAGCCTGCTTCCCAAATACCTATTTGCCAAGGGACCAATTTTGCAAATTTACCAACATTGCCTCCTTCACCCAAGTGTTGCCTTTTAGTATAAAGGTTACACAAATCAGTATCCATGGGAAGACTTCAGGGGCTTGAAGTTTTGTTTTGTTTTTTAATGAAAGAAGTGGAAAGGTAAAGTAGAAACCAGAAGGGATTTCACAGTGAACTCTATGAGTCATTTTCAGGAGGTGGGACGGTATCTGCAAACATGAAACCATGAAGAAAGAATTTTTTTAATGTCCTAAAAACTGATAAAGAAAAAGGTAGAGTAGAAAATATAGGAAAAAATCAGTATTCGTGCTATTTGATAAATTTGCAAAACAACCTTAAAATGCATGTATGCCTTCGTTCAATAACTAGTTCCTTTAATAATATTTAATAAGGGCCTACTTACTGTGTGCCAAGCTCTGTGACAGCTCCTGAAGATATGCCAGTGAGCAAGGAGAAAACTCTCTGCTGGGAGGAGATGGACACCAAACAAATGAACCTATATGTTCTGCTGGGGATTCATAACAACTATCAAGGGAAGGGGCTGGGTGGGGAGGCTATAAGGGGGCGGGGAGCACAATCGGATCTCGGGTTCCAGCAGAAGCTGGAATGAAGTGAGGGAGTGAGCT